GATGTAGAATGTCTGAGCAGACCTGTATGTCAGGATGGAACTGTCGAATCGGTCGCTTTAGCGGTCAGAATGCCGATATAGTCAATACCACCATAGTAATGTTGACTATATCGCTAATGGCTGATGGCTCCCACCGTATTTTGACTTTAGTCAAAGTACAATGGGGGCCATCATCTCATCAATGCAAGAATCTGGACCTCCCCTCGTCGGAGCCATCAGCCCTGTGACCTGATCTGACCTAACCACCCGGCCAGGCTGACTTGTAGCTCTCGAAAAGTAATAAAACGACTGGTTTAGAGCAGACTTCGAAGACATCTGGCGTTTCAAATACTGCTCTATAATCCACATGGACCCTAAAACGCCATTCTTTCGAACCTTTTGGGAAAGAATGGTGTGTTGCAAAAGTAATGGATTCACTACAAACATCTTTGTCTTAAACTTCATTTAAATCTTTGATGAAGTGATTCAAAATTTCTCTCTTACATTCGCCAGTTCTTATGTCGTAAACCCACTACTCTGGTGCCTCGAGGAATTTTTGAATCTGTCTTCAAATGATGTTCCCAACCGGCTACAGTCCCCATGCCTCGTCTACGCGGAAGAGGCGACGATTTGAAGCTATGGAGAACACTGGACGCGGAACTTTTACAAGGTGATTTAGATTGGCTTCCCGAGTGGGCGCTTCCTATCAAAATCGGCAAATTGAGTATGTTTATCACTTCACACATCTGACACCAGACTGTGTACCAAACGAATCATGGTACAATAATCGTTACGAAAAAACGTTCCATGATTTGCCTGTGGGCTGAATGCTTCCAGGTTTCCCTGGCCAAGGCTAGCCAAAGCCTGACCCGTAAGATGGGCGTAAGAGGGGCGGTGTGTAAATACCGCAATCCATTTGGGGCCGATATCCAGTTCATCGGATCATACACCCTTGGGACGGAGTGTGTGGTTCGTACGCATCCTCTTGGTCGGTTTGGAATCGGGGTTTTTGGCCCACTCCCCTAGCTGAACTGCCGGTGGTCTACCAACCCGGTTATAGCTCTGGAGGTCGGCTTTTCTTCCTCTCACCTCCACCATGAGAAGGCAGTAAGCACGGATTTTTCAGCAGAGGTCATTCAAGGCACTTGGTCTTATAGGAGCGTTTCGCGAGGTGCAAGGGAAGAGTGATCAGCCGCAACCCTAGACACGCACTGCCGACCACACTGAGGCTTTCGGCAAGTGTAAACACATGAGAATAGGTCGCTGTATTCTCAGGCCGGCGTACACATTGAACAATGTTCTCATCAAGAACGGTGCCCATGAGAGGGACTTGGGGTGGTCATTTCTTCGTCCATCAAAACCAGAGGCCACATTGATAAGGTCTGTTCTGCTTGGAGTATCCTGGGAACCATACGCCGATCGTTCGGACCTCTGTCGAGAAAGGCGTTGAAACTCGTGTATGCCACAGCGATTCGCCCTCCTCTGGAGTATGGTGCTGCAGCGGCTTTTCCCTCCATCCATGGAGAGATGGCGAAAATAGAACATGTACCGAGTGGCCACCGTCTAGTTGCGGGCCTACGTGCATATAGTTACGACCTGTGACTCGTCATCACGGACCTGTACATGGGGAACTACAGACGTATTAGTGGTGATATCCTGCTAACCAGGAAAATCATCCGCGGTGACCTAGAGGTGGAGTTGCAAAAATGTTCCCACCACGCAATGATGCACGTATATGCGGTCACCGCTTCACGCTTCAGAGACAAAAATCATCCGGACTTCCGTCATAAATCGTCTCTGCAGGATAGTGACCAGCATTTAGAATGCTCTCCCGAGGGATATAATAGAAGAGGTAAATGACGATAACTTCAAACGGAAGCTAGATGATCACCTGTTGAAACGGCGACAAGCTGATGGGTAGCTTGTCCGGATCCGGAGGAGAGGTCGAGTCCCTACTACATTTCATTCCAGAAGGCGAAAACGCTTTGCGGTCAGGATCCGAGAGGCAATGTCTACATGGCGGCCGATCATCATCGTACAGTGCAAAACAACGAAACCAATTTCTCTGATCACTGTCAGGCTCTCAGTGTTCACAAAGTAAGTTAGAAGTACAAGATAGATAGGGTTTGAACCTAACCAGAGGGAAGCAAAGAAAGTGATCTTCACACAGTGCACAACTTAACTGTGCGTAAATACCTTTTCAAACATTCTGGCCTGATAAGAAACGATAACAAGAGCGCCACCGCTGCTGGTTAGTTGTCATATCTCTGTCTCCAACCAGCCAATTGCGGAGTCTTTCGGACCCCAACCTGGAAGACGCGAAACACCTACTCTATCTAATCACTCTGCATTTCTTCATGCCTCGTTTCCACGTCATCTGTTGACCTTCACATGGTTTCTTCCAGCTTGGGGCTGCAACTGCGAATAGGGCGTGATAATCTGAAATCGATGGGACGACGGAATCTCCATTGAATCATGACCAACTACGCGACGACTTGCCTTTGTGTTGCTTACAGGCTACCCCCATCCAACTCGCATCAAACTAAGTAAACATCGGCAATCGAAGACTTCTATACGATGAATATCTTTCACGCGCAACCGTAAAGAAGAACTGACCGCACAATGACGCAGTATACGCGATCTTTCAGTTTTAACGAAACCACGTCTGTGCTAAATGTGTTTCAGTCATGCGTAAGCTGCTCGAGCCTTGGAAATGCGGGTGGTTACTTCCGTGACAACGCTATTGTGAGTTGTGATGCAACCACTTAAGTAGGAGAAACAGTCCACTGTAACTAATTCTTGACCATCAATCATCAGAGCCGAGGTAGACGGCACCCAACCTTGTGGCATAGCTTTACAATTTGAAGATGCAGAGCTCAGGCTAAATGGAGTTACAGAACTTGAAAGTCTGTCAACAGTGCCTTACGCACCCTCCATACATTCAATCAGACAAATGATGTCGTCGGTATACTCTAGATCGCACAGCTTTTCTCCAGCTGCCCAATAAATACCTACGTTTTGGAGACCAATAAGTGCGTTCTACAGTATTTCATTTGTGACGAAGTTGAATTGGAATGGGACAATAGGGCACCCTTGACGAACACCGTCCTTGGTTTCGAACGATTTTCTCAGCTCACCGTAGACGCTGACGCTACCAGAACTATACAGGTACAGCAATCGCAATAGATTTACATGTTTCTGTGACATTCCTTTGCGAAACAATGCATCCACTAGAGATTCACGGCCATTTGAATCAAATGCTTCTTTCAGGTGAAGGAACACTGCAATTGTTGGCCGACGGTGTGTGTGTGACATCATTCGAAGACTTGATGCAGGGTGATGATTTCGTCGATGTAACCGCGACCTAGTCGGAATCCTGCTTGGTGTTCGCGAATACCAGTCTTCCTCAAGGGTGTCAGGTGGCGAATTATCACAGAAGTTAACAGTTCTGTAATTATCGGAACTAAGCTAATCCTGCGGTGGTTAGCACAGTCGTCGCATGATCCCTTCTTGAAAATCGGGACGATCAGCGATTCACCCCAGGACAAAGGGGTACACACCTCCGTCCAAATGCTGCAAAGTAAGCTAGTAATTGAGTCGACAAAAGAATCACCGCCCACCTTGAAAAGAATAGGGAGAAGCCCATTGGGTCCCGCAGCCTTACTTTTCTTTAATGATTGGATACAGATTCGTATTTCCAGTTCTGATGGAGGCTCACATGTTACCACCCACGGGGTTTCTGCCGCAAAAACTGGAATGATCGCATTAACGGTGGGACAGTTGAACCGTTCACTAAAACACTTTCCACCGATCACACCGTTGTTCTTTATTAGTATTATTATTATTATTACTACTCTGTCCACGTTTATCACAAATCGTCTCACTGACCGGTGTGCGATGACCTCCGGTGCTGTATCAGGTAAAACAGTCTGACTATTCCCTGATGCAGAAACTACCTCCATTCGCTAACTGTTTTGGCCCACCAGTTTTCACGATCTTTCTTGAGGCTTTTCCTTAGCTGATATTGCAGGCGCCACCGGTCCCTATGCTGATCCTGGCAGATTGGGATCTTTCGCTTTTGATCCATCAAGATTACCGACTCCTGAGAGATCCAATCTCTTCGGTGAGCTTCGGGCTCGGTCCCACAAAGCAAATTTTACTACTGAGTGCAACAACACTAATAACAGAGCGGAGAGGTTGGGATACTAGACAGACTGAAATTGGAGTCGAACAGTTAAAGTAGATATCGGGAATAAAATGAATCTAAGGATAGAAATGAACCCGCTGTTGATAGACGGAATTCCGGAAATTGTCAACTTCATCAGCACTGTATTTGGTATCAACATCGAAAACCTTAACTGGTATGCCTGTTACTCTTCCAAGATTTATTCGCTCCTTGGGTCATTTAGGTCCTAGAAAAAGGTGCTCTAACAGACGCATCAAGTATTCTTTGCTGATTCAAAGAACATTGAAGCAGCATTGGGAAGTTACGGAAGATTCAGTATTCTTTTTCAGTCCTAATTGCTCATATTCTTTGTACGTTTCAGTGGCGCCTTCTAATTTTCGTTTTACTCTCTCGCGTGAGGGCCGATTGCGTGTGGTACGGCATTGCTGACCATACCGATCCGGATCACCCGAAGTACAGGATATACAACGGGCCAGCAAAACCGCTTGGCGATCCGAAGGCATATCAGTCACTCACTAAACTGTGCCCAAACTATGCACAGGGACCTGATTTTGGCTTGTGTTGTGATGCTGATCAGTTGAATTTCTTCGCAGAAAGTTCCAAACTGGCATATGAAATGCTCCGGAGGTTAGTTATTTTTCCTTTTCAAACGGGCACTAGGCTACTTCGTTGCAATTGTGTTTTGTATTTATCCAATTACTAATACTGTAAACGAATGACAGAGTATAACAAGCTAAAAGTTGGATACTGATTACAGCATTTTTGAGTTTGTTTTCACTTCACGGATTTCCTTGATTTTGTTGTCCCTGTTTATACGAACGGCCGAGCAACAGTTGATTTATTTATTGTCTCACACAACAATCTTTATTTAAAAAAAAAGAAAAAAAATCATGATAAACCCGAGGGTATAATACTGCTAGTTTGCCCAAGCAGGAGGAAACCACGTGGAGATCAAGAGATGACATGGAGACGAGGAACGAGAGATGCGCAGAGCCATTAGGTAGAGTAGGTGTCTCTCGTCTTCCAGGTTGGGGTCCGAAAGACTCCACAACCGGCTGGGAGATATTGAAAGATATGGCAGCGAACTGATGGCTGTGGCGTTCTTGTTGTAATTTCTTATCAGGCCAGAATGCTTGCAACGATACGTACGCAGAGTTCGATTGCGTGCTCTGTGTGTTGATCATGGAGGTTCACCTTCTTCTTCCTCCCTGAAAATTGGTCCGAGCCCTAACCACCTTAGATATTAACACTAACCTTGTATTGCGAGTTTGGCAGCAATCAGTGAAATTCGCCTCACTGTATTTCGCTGTACGAAGATGCTGATGCGTTCGGAATATAATTTATAATGTATTTATGTATTTGTATGTATTATAATGTCGCTTATCTGTTACTTTTTATAAAGATTATTGTACCATGATTTGTTTGTCACAGTTTGAATTCAGGCGTGTGTGAAATAAATAAATAAATTATCCGTTTCTCATTTGTTTGGAATAAACGTACTTTCATTTATATCTTTTTTTAGATGCCCAGCATGTTGGGCCAACTTCCGCCTGCTTTTGTGTGGAATGACGTGCGACCCAAATCAACACGAGTTCATCGTACCCCAATCCGTTGGAGATATGGTCATCTCGGCACAAGTAAATCTCACAGCACGCGTTGCGGATACGTTCTTCAATAGTTGCAAAGTGAGTATTGGAGTGACATTGATCCCACGGTCGTTAACGTGGTCACTCTCTCTCTCTCTCCACAGTGGATTGGTTCCACTAACGTGGTTCAAATCCGGCTATTCCCATTCGTCAGTTTTATTGGAGCAGATAGCTTCGTTGTTGTTCTTGTTTTTACCGAGTTTCAAACTAACCTTAGGCCTTTGTGAGGCTTGATGGGGNGGCTCCCCGTTTTTCATTCCGAAACAGTAGGTTCTTGTAATTGCTGTTTCACGACTACCTGCTGCTAGGCTATAAGTCAGCTTCCTACCTATCTGAGATCATAACTCTACGTGTGCAGCGATCGGTAGCGGCATCCATGTAGACGGAACTTTAACCACTTGACCATTTTCGGATTCAGTAGACGGCTTTCAGGCCCTGGGCTTTTTGCGTCCGTTTTCTTTGTGTGTTCACCGTGTTTTGTACTGTCCTTCTGACTCCCATAACAGAATCACACAAGTGCAATATGAAATGGCGTCTTCCAGCACCATTCGTCTTTTTATATATTCAGTTCTTGATAACATTGCTGGAACTGTTCACCTTATTTTTCTTGACTATGCCAATGCTTTTGATTCGCTTGACCGTCGCATATTCAATTAACCTCTTGCTGACTGCGGCTTAGGATCCGGCGTGTTAAACGTTCTTGTAAACTACTTCTGTTTTAGGACGCAATTTACCTCATGTAGTGGTAAAACGTCATCGTCTTCTTATCTGAGCTCTGGTGTCTTTCAAGGCGCAGTTTCGTCTCCCTTCTTTTTCCCTGTGCATAAACAACCTGCCTGTCCCTACCAAATTTATTGCCTGTAAGTATGCGGACGATGTGGTGATTGGGTGCCCCTCCAATATCAATGCATCTTTCTACCAACTTCAAGGTAGTCTGAACGACATTTTTGGTTGGTCTCTACCCCGATCACTCATGCTTTCAAGTGTATTGACGTTCCCTTTAACCCTAAATCTGACTCCCGTTATCAAACAACCTTTAATGATTTACCGGACTTCGTCGTTAATAGTCACAGCGTTCCTAAAGCTGACTCTGTTAAATACCTCAGAATCGTTCTATTCCACAATCTTTCTTGGACCTCACATGTAGAGAACGTTTACAACAGGGTTCGTAAACTTTCCTTTTATGCTTTCAGGCTTAGGAAGCTTGCTATTACCCCAAACGTAATTTTCAAATTCGTAGTAGCATGCATCCTCCCTCATTGACTGTACTGTTCCCTGCTGCCTTGCGGGTCAAACTTTTGCTAGCCAAAGGCTCCTCAAGAAAATTCACCTGCCTTGGCCTAGGCAACCTGGCAGTATTCGGCCCACAAAATCATATATATATATACCCGTTCCCATTGTAGGCTCCTTCCCGCACATATGAAAGCCGCGTCCCCTTCTCTAGCTCGCTTTTTAGTAAATCGGGCACCAATTATTACAGGTCTGGTTGAACACCTCATGAATTAGTTTATTTATTCATTTCAATCTATCACTCATCTTCCTGCATGCAGTTTGTTGCCGTTTTTTAACTTATTCACAATAATGCTACCCCTCCCCAATTCCACTGTATTATCGTGAAAAAGTCGCTGAAAATTCATCCCTCGGGTGCATAAAGCTTTGGTTTCACTTGAGTGTTTACCTCTAACTTTCGCGGAATTAATTGTGAACTGCAAGGCAGCAGAGTGCTTGCTGTTTTGCTCCAATACTTCCCATCGTATTGGTTGTCATGAATTTACGGACTAAGGCCATTGTCAACTGGAGAGCAGCGTCATGAAACCGAACACGATTGATGAGTGTCGGTTGTAGACTGCAAAGACTCTTCAAAGAGGAACCCAAGTCCTTCGATTAGAGATAGTGCTTCGCCGATCCACCGTATGTATTTTTTGACTGGGGATATCATTTCTTATCTTGTGCACAGTGCAACTTGTTCGTTTGAGTTTATTTTGTGACGATTTCGTTTCCTAATTAGCCTTAGTTCCATGGTTTGCTGTGTAGAAACTTATTTGCAAGAAAATAAGAGGAGAAATAGCGGTCATCGGTTCTACGCCGGATGAAAACAGTCAAAGTGCGAATAAACCGGTCAAATATAGATGATTGATGTGATGATGTGATGCAGTGATGCATTAGCAACACTGCATGAAACTTCAGACTCACTTTCCACCTTATTAAGTGCATAAGCCAATACATGAGGGTTGGTTGTACCAAGGTGCGAAAAAAAATCGTACACGTTTGGACTTCTCTCAGTATGGCCTTTGGTTAGAGACACTGCGGAATGTGGTCTCGAATAGAAGTCAGT